GAATAGTGGTTGACCCAACGGGGTCACGGTGGTCTAGTTATTTGTTAAAAGTTGTATAGTTTAGGTGACGTCAGTTAAGTTTCTTTACTAATTAAAAGCTGTATACTTTTTGGTGACGTCAGTTAAGTCTCTTTACTTGTTAAAAACTGTATACTTTTAGTGACATCAGTTAAGTCTCTGTACTTGTTAAAAGCTGTGTCTCTGTTTGAGGGGAAAAAATGTTTTTCAGATGAACAACATTAATAGTATGTGAGTAAGGTTTGAAGCTTTAAAATTACATCACAAAATAGTCAAGATTTTTTTTCTTTTCTGTTATGTTCGCTTTTTAAATGGAAGGGACTTTTAGAAACTGAAAACTTATGTTTTTATCGCAATGCTTCAAACAATTTTCACCTAGTTTTGCGGCAAGTATCACCTATTATTAAAACCGATTTTAAACAAGAAAATCCAATACACATCAGTACAGAAGTATATGGGATATGACTCTAGGCCTACTGCTCACAGACAGCAGTACAGAGATATATCAGATATGGCTGTAGGCCTGCTGCACATTGACATAAGTACAGAAATATATCAGATATAACTCTAGGCCTACTGCTCATAGACAGCAGTACAGAGATATATCAGATATGGCTGTAGGCCTACTGCACATTGATATAAGTACAGAAATATATCAGATGTGACTCTAGGCCTACTGCTCATAGACAGCAGTACAGAGATATATCAGATATGGCTCTAGGCCTACTGCACATTGACATAAGTACAAAAATATATCAGATATGACTCTAGGCCTACTTGGACAAACGGATTATCCAAATAACAAAACAAGCATGATACAGACAAGGTTCTCAATGTTACTATATGTCTTGATTGATTTTTGTTAAAGATCGATATTTTTTAAATTAAATTGAAAGAAAGTGCTAAATCAATTTAATGGACAGCAATTTTTTTTTACAAAGAGTACCAAAAAAAAAAAAGGGTTACACCACTTGCTTCATTTCTAGATGCTATTACCAAACCATTAGTGCGTATGAGATATTTACAAGTTCTTGTAATTAGATTTAAACGAAAGACGAACACTAATTGGCGACGGAAATATCTTTTTGACGACGACTGGACTCTTAAGAACTTCGATTCAGTTTTAGCTTTTCTTTTTCCAAAATCGCTTTAACAGTGAAAATTTCCTGTTATTCACTGATTTGGAATAACTACAAAAGTATACCACTCACCAATCAATATGTATGAAAAATAAAGACATCAATTTATTACTTGTTAACTGGCGTCAGTTAATTAAGCCTCATTACTTGTTAAACGCTATATACTTTAGGTAACATCAGTTAAACCTCGTTACTGTTTAAAGCTGTATACTTTAGGTGACGTCAGTTAAGCATCAATATTTGTTAAAAGCTGTATACTTTAGGTGACGTCACTTAAGCCTCATTATTTGTTAAAAGCTGTATACTTTAGGTGACGTCAGTTAAGCCTCATTATTTGTTAAAATCTGTATACTTTAGGTGACGTCAGTTAAGCCTCGTTACTTCTTAAACGCTGGGTAGTTTCGCTTCTGAGGAATTCAAATCTAAGATAACACATTCCAAAACAAGTCTACTTTCACGTTATGATTGTACATAATGAATTATGAATATATAATTAGAATAAAATAATTTGAAAACAAAAAACCAAGCCTTGAAAGTTCAAAATTGCTAATAAAAGTTTAGTTACATTAGGAATCTTTCTATTAAACATGATAGAACTCTGTTCTGTATTAATATCAAGTGACTTTAATTCGGTTCTTGGTCGTCATCTTTTCTGACAGCCATGAAATATAACTGGTCTTTTCCTCCTTTACGTCATCTACACCTAATTAGCGTAGTTTCGAATTTTCGTTAAGAGTATAATATTTTATCCCCTCTCTAAATTACACTGGATATTATTTCGTATTTTTGTAGACAAGAATATCTCAGAATAATTGTAGAAGTGGTAAACAAGGTTGATTCCTTTGAGTGTGAAACTTTTCTATTCTGTGAATAAGTGAATTTAAGATCTTGTTTTCGGATTTTAAAGGAAAAAAGGAAATATTTTTTAAGATCCCCAAAAATTATAAAAAACTTTGGAAATCTTCAGATATTGTTGAATCAAGTTGTAGGAGGGAGCCACTGCGTAAGGAATAGTTGTTCATGTAATGTTTTATTTGTTTCAAAAATACAAAGAAAATCTTGAAATATTTTCGTGTAGGGAAATGGTTACTGTTAAATTAATAAACTATGATGGAGACCATCTCTCGCTCATTGAGCTAAATCAGTTGTTATATATTTGTGATGTTTGTTTAGGTATGTTGGAAAATGTTTTTCCCCCTTTGAATACTGTACTGTTGTAGGTTATATTTTAAATATTTTAATATTTTCGTCACTAGAGGGAGTCTTTTACGTGATGTAATAATAATGCGAAGTCTTCAAGTTTCTGTGGATTCTCGAATGTTAAAGAAATGGATTATAAAATAAAAATGGCTGACTGAGTGAGTTAGAATTAATGAATTATAAAATAAAAATGGCTGACTGAGTGAGTTAGAATTAATGAATTATAAAATAAAAATGGCTGATTGAGTGAGTTAGAATTAATGAATTATAAAATAAAAATGGCTGACTGAGTGAGTTAGAATTAATGGATTATAAAATAAAAATGGCTGACTGAGTGAGTTAGAATTAATGGATTATAAAATAAAAATGGCTGACTGAGTGAGTTAGAATTAATGAATTATAAAATTAAAATGGCTGACTGAGTGAGTTAGAATTAATGAATTATAAAATAAAAATGGCTGACTGAGTGAGTTAGAATTAATGAATTATAAAATAAAAATGGCTGACTGAGTGAGTTAGAATTAATGGATTATAAAATAAAAATGGCTGACTGACTGAGTTAGAATTAATGGATTATAAAATAAAAATGGCTGACTGACTGAGTTAGAATTAATGGATTATAAAATAAAAATGGCTGACTGAGTTAGTTAGAATTAATGAATTAATTAATTTAAGGAGTTTTAGTTAGACAAGGTGAGTTCGACTAATCGTCAGTGATTCAGTCATTGAGTTATTTATGACTGATTGATTAAAATGTTAGTCACTGAGTCAGTCAGCAAACTGACTCTTTCCTATGTTAACTATATTTTCAATAAAAGATTATAAACCACAGACGCGTTGGTCTTATTAGAGCTTGTTGCTAGGAGATACCAAAAACATAACGTAATAAGACTTAGTAACTGACATTTTCTGTGTTAGTCTCATTAGAGCTTGTTGCTAAGAGGTATCAAAACAAAACGTAACAATACTTATAATGGCTGGAGACGGCTTGAATGGGTAATGAAGAAAAACTTTAACATAAGTTTAACATAACAGCAAATGT